CAGAGTCTTCCATAGCATCCAGGGTTGTCGAAGTTGAAGCATCTTTCACAGACAGCGCGGTCTCGGAGTCTTCCATAGCGTCCAGGGTTGTCGAAGTTGAAGCATCTTTCACAGACAGCGCGGTCTCAGAGTCTTCCATAGCGTCCAGGGTTGTCGAAGTTGAAGCATCTTTCACCAAAGGTGTGATCCCGAATTCTCCCATCGCGTCCTCCATTTCTTTGCAGACGGAAAAACGGATCTCGTTTTTTACACCTACTTCAAGCTGCACAGGTAACACCGATTCTTTTTCCAATGCAGAGCGTAATTCTCTGCTTTTAAGAATAGCTCTCAGAATTCTTGACATTGTCGGTAGGAATGCAAGTGTTTTTTCTCTTGCTGAAAATACAGAAACTTTTCTCCCCAGCAATATTTAAAGAGGACATAATTCGGCCCTCCTATTTTCATTGGTTAGCTTAGGGAAGGGGGGTTGTTGATGGAGTCATAAATCTTGGGGATGCAGAAGGATGGGGGATGGGGAACGGAATGGGGAGGGGTAAGGTCATAAATCTTGGGGATCCAGAAGGATGGGGGATGGGACAGGAAGGGGGGATGGGGTAAGGTCATAAATAATTTTTGGGGGGATGGGACCGGAATGGGGGGTCATAAAAGGGGGGAGGGGTGAGGTCATAAATCATTTGTGAGGGGATGGGTCATAAGTCATCAATCATTTTTGACATAAGGTGGCTTACTCCCCTACTCTTGTTCAGTTTAAAGTACTGTTTAGAGTCAATTTTTCTAAAACTCGACTATCCCAAATGTATCCCAGCATCACCGACAAATGAAACAAATGTCCACTACTTTCTTGCTTTTGGTTGAATTACTTTGATACCATGTCAAAAATACTTTCTGTGATTATAAGTCTCCCCCCACATTGACTTATTTGGGCTCCCAGAGCACCACAAGCGATTTACTTTTAACCAATTAGATATCTTAGCATTTAGTTCATTACTGGCAAGACGCTGCCTTCTTTTACACAAGAAGTTGACTAAAGCCCCGTTTGTTTCTTCTTTCTCTCCCAGGTTGGGGTCTGAACTGCTCCCTCTCCCAAGCACATCTCAAATGTCCGCTAAGTGCAGAGCCCATTCCCCCCGTCATGCTCTCCCTCCGCTGGCTGGCGCTGGGGCTCACCGGTGCACTGGTGGAGTTTGGGGTTTGGGGGTGGATGCCCGGGTGGCTGCTGGCTTATTCCTGTCGGCCTTTCCGCGGGGCTTGGCCGGCTGGGGCCTGGCTGGGGCTCCTGCCTGGGGATCGGATGCCCCTGGGTCCTCTGATCCCTGGGGCGCAGGGCCGGATTCACTTCAGGGTGGCTGGCTGCCGGCGGAGCCCGTGGACTTGTCCCCACCGCTCCCCGGGGCTCTGGCATTGCAGTGGCTGGGGGCCTTCCTCGAGGCTGTCTCTTCTCCTCCCTTGGTGGGGGTCATATTTCCTGGGCTGGCCCCTCCTTGGTGCCTTCGCTCTTGGGGTCCCTTTGGGCGTCTGGGGCTTTGCGTCTCCCGGCGCTGGACTCTGTGCTCTGGGGGGGTGCCTCTTTGGCTCTCCACAACCGCTATTGAGCATTTTTTCTTTGGATAAACTTTACATGTAAAAGTGCACTCTCAAAAACAACTACAGGTGCTTGGTTCCAGGTACTCAGAGATTCACTTCCATACAGGAAGCCCACATTCTTATCTTCAGGTAACACAGAGTACATGTCAGATTAAATAGTACTACTTCAATGATAGTTTCAAGGTGTTACTTTATATTTTGTCTCGTACCATGTCTTTTGGTTGTGCTGTTCTTTTTACATCTCGTTGCAGGTGATGAAGCAGACTGAAAATGTTTTATCATTATCTCCTTTCTGTCTCCTCTTTCTTTCACCTTTTCTCCTTTTTTTCTGTTTTTCCGCTTCTATTCTACTTACATTGCAGTGTCAATATAATCTGTAAAACTCCCTGCATAATTATAATAAAGCTATTTATATGCATGAAACAAGTGGAACACTATGACAATAGCCCTACTGCTCCACTTGTGAAAGTAAAATCTGTTGGGCTCTTTTTGGCATCAAGACAATTATTCTTATTGCCACATTGCCAGACAGGACACTGTTAAAAAAAAAGACTGTAGGGCAGGCAGGCTTTCAGGCGGTCAAAGGCCTCCTGGTGCTGCTGGAACCAACACCAGGCTGTCTCCTTGTGTGTGAGCTGTCTCAGGGGTGCTGCGATCTCACTAAGGTTCTGTATGTACTTGCCGAGGTTGTTGACCATGCCGAGGAACCGCTGCAGGGATGTGACGTCTGTGGGAACTGGCATGGCATTGATGGCGGCTGTTTTCGCAGGATCCGTCTTGAGGCCATCACAGGTGAAGATATGTCCCAAATAGGAAACCTGGTCTAGCCGGAACTTGCACTTTGCAGTGTTTAGCCTGAAGTTGACCTCTCTTGCACATGTGAGCACTTTTTGTAGGTTGGCATCGTGTTCAACGTCAATGCGTTCTCCAATGATGATGTCGTCGACAATGATTGAACATGGGTAATCTGCGAACAGCTGTTCCACTGAGCACTGAAACACTTCACTTGCAGAGTTGATGCCGAAGGGCATGTGCAGGAACCTGAAACGCCCAAAAGGGGTGCTGATTGTGGTTGCATTGAGGATTTCTTATGAAGGTGCACCTGCGAGAAAGAATTCTTGGCATCCAGAACAGAAACCACTGTGGCTCCTGACATCTTTGCTGCTACCTCTTCCACAGTGGGTGGTGGGGCCTCTTCAATGTTAGGTTGAAGTCTTTCGGATTGATGCACAGCCTGATCTCGTTCTTGTCCTTCTTGTGTGCCACCACCACGGATGAGACCAAGTCAGTTGGCTCCATGACTGGTGTTATAACACTGATGCGCTGCATGCGCTCCAGCTCATCCTTGACTCTCTCTCGCATAGCAACAGGTACGCGGTGGGCGGTTTGAACTACAGGCTGCACATTGGGATCCAGCTTCAAGGAGTACACGACAGGGCAGCCTTCCCACTTAGCTACATAGCTGCCTCCACAGTTCGAGCAATTTGTGGTCTGTGGAGCGTACAGTGGCTTGGGTTTGGCTAAACTACTTGAGGCTGGCTAGACAGCGTCAACGCTGGTAGCTGCTGTTGCTAGTGTTTTACTGCTTTCTTCAGTCATCCCATGGATTCGGGCGATTGCAATGGCTTTGGCCAGAGTGAGCTCGCTATACCTCAACAAAGCTCTCTTCAGAGTGTCACTGGTAATGTGGCAGATGATGTGGTCACAGGTCTGTTATCTCTCCGAAATGACAACACTTAGCTTTGATCCTCAGATCACTGATAAATGATTCAATAGTCTCACCTTGCCTCTTGTTTTTTGTATGAAACTTTTTTCTGTCTATTGTCATGTTGTTTTGAGGGTTGCAGATTTCGGATGACTTTCTTTTCAGGCATTCAGGATCCTCCCTGGACTCTGCGGGAGCGACAATCCTGAACAGACCTTCACCGTCGGGAATGCTCACCTCTGGGGCATAGACGAATGAGTGCTCCTGCTCGATGGCCTCTAGTCCAGCGATGTTGAGGAGAATGTAGGCCTGGGTTTTAGACAGCTTGTCATATTGTGCCGCGGCAATGAAGATGTCGTTCTCCCTTTCAAAAAGTCGACAATTCTTTGCAATGTTGTCATTGAAAATGAGTGGGTCTGCTCTGCGAAAAGAGCCCTCGTAATGTTGTTGTTGTGATAACTAACAAACAACGCAGCGTAACAAACGGACGCTACTACACTCATGCGGTAGAGAAAAATAAGCTCACAGGCGAGAAGGTGACTTCCATGTAAAAGTTTCTTTTCGGGTTAAAAATGACACGAGATGAGTTCACTGTTACTGTAGCTTTTACTGCTCTGCCGTAAAGGCTGCTCACACAGATACAAAGCAAGTGACATCACCGAGCAGATATAAACTCTGATTGACCCTCGCCAAGTCAGTACGGTGGCCAGTGTCGGACAAACACTGCAAAGCCATTTGTGAAATGATCTACAGTTAACATGAATTCAACACACTGCAGTAAACAGATAAATGGAGGCAGAAAATATCTTTCAGTCATCAATGCACACATTCAGCGACACACAGGAGCTCTTTCAAGTGGGCACTGTTTCATTCACATCACCTGTCCCATCAACCAGGAATCAGAAATACTTTAATAATCCCAGAGAGAAAATACTTTCGTTAAATTAGACCATATGTAATACAGTGACTATAGGACCAATTTAATATAACACAATTTCATACAATATATATAATTAGTGGGTCCTCACTCCATCTTGCCGTCAGTTTGGAGATCCTTGGCCTGGTAAACGTTGAAGATCCCTCCCTTAATGAATGCGGAAGATGCAAACCGGGACAACCACTGATGCAGTTCAGGGGAAGAGTGGTGTTTGTCAAGCTACAATGTTTGAGTGCAACCAAGGCAACCCTGTCAGTACAGCTCTATCAGCCAAGCTAACTAATCTCCTTGCTCAGTGGATTGTTACCAGATGCCACTATCATCATGGTTGTGTCAGGATCCCAGTTTTTGTGTTCATCTGTTTGTCTTGTCTTTTGTGTTTCTCCCTTCCACCACCAGGAGGTGCCTGGCACCTGTTCACCTCCTCACACACCTGCAAGCTGTTGCCTCATCACCGGACTGCTCTTAAGCTGCTGGTCGCCACTACTTCGACGCCAGAGTGTTTGCCAGTTTGGGGTATTCTAGCCAAGCCTTGTTTATGCTTAGTCTAAACTGAGTTTTGCTTTTTGAGTTTTTGTTCTCTAGCCAAGCTGAGATCTCATAGAGTTTTTTCTCCCTAAGGCTAAACCTTGTTTATTCTTTGCCTTTCGGCAGGAAGCCTTCCTGCAAACTGGACCCTTTCGGACCGCCTCCTCCCAAGTGGGATCAACTGAGTCTTACACTGAGCGACGGATTCCAAATGGGATTTGGATCCAGCCACCTTTCAGCAAACTGAGATCTCTCTGAGTAAGGAAGTCATCTTCACCACGACCCGTTCAAGTACCATAGGAAAACTGAGTTGCAACCAGCGGCTACATCATTCAACTCCGTCCGAGTTCTGGGTAAACCCTGTTCCGCTATTCTCTGGAAGACCATCACACAGACTGAAGTCTAAGTGTCTCTACTTCTCTGGAAACATGAGTGTCAACAAACCCTGTCCTTCAAGATTGATAACTCCAATTTCCCACTGAGCCTGAACCTAACAGCCTATCTCCCCTCCGTCTTCCAGTTTCCGGCTGAGCAGAGTTCGGAGGAACTCTGTGCCAAACTCAATATACCCTTCAATAAAACCCATTGAACTTTTATATTATGTCTCTCTGTTTGTCTTCATTGCATGTGGGTCCGAGCCTTAGAAAGAATCATGACAGGTTGAAGACGATGGGCTTGAGCTCGTTCTCCAGACAGCCACAGAGGACCCATCTTACGATGAGGTGAATACATGACCAGTAAGCTGCAGAAAAAGCCGCAAAAGATTAGAAATTTGTAATAAGCTCACAACCTTGGACCCAATACTCAAAGCAGACAGATCTGGATTAGTTCAAAACAGGTCTTTATTGAACACTCTCAGCGTGCGGCTGCTCGTCAGCTGGATAAACGGGTTGATGTTTCAGGGTGGAGCTGATGCCAGCTGACTCCTAGGGGAGCAGAGTCTTGAAGGGAATGTCCAAAGCCGAAGTCGTAGCAGAACCAAGTTCACCATCCAGAAGATCAGGGAGCTGATGAGGTACAGAAGAGGAATCCAAGCCGAGGTCAGAAGAACTTCTGCCTCACATTCTACTTTTAGAAACCCCAGGAACCACTAGTAAACCTGCAGATCGAGAGCTAAGTGCTCTGTTAGGAACATAAGTAACAATCATATATTTGATATAAGATGGTACATGGCCATTTAAGAATATATGTGGGATGATGTATTTCTAAATTATATTCTGGTTTTAACAGGAAGCCGGTGAAGAGAAGTTAAGATGAAGCTAAGGCGGAAATTCAACTGAAGAAACTCTAAATTCAATTCAATCTGAGGCTTATCCGCCTCCGACGCAGCCAACCCGCTTCAAGCCACTTTCCTCGATGCCCAATCATCTTCCAGCACCCTACTTAAAACCACTCCAAATCATCTCTAGGCCTGCTCTTCAACAAGCGCAAGATCCATCGCTCCTATGTCGGACTTTGATTCAGACAAATCAACTTACCTCCAATCCTCCGGCTCGAAGAAGTTCCCGTCTAGCCGCTCTCTCATCTCCGTCCTCCGCACTGAGCTCTAGGGGTCGTAAGCGGTCATGCAAACGCAGCAGAGAACGTCCCAGCTCCAGCCGCCATAGCGCCCAGTCCCTCTCTCCGTTCCGACGCAAACCCAGGTCCT